CTTTCAACCAAGCACTTGTCCCTGCATATGATATTGAAGTCATCCATGTAGGCCAGGATCTTTGTCTCGTCTCTGTTACTCCCTGGAATATTTATTCCATTGATCCCAGAGTCCTGTCTGAGCTGCTGTTTTAGCACTTCTATCACTCAGATAAACAGATTCGGAGAGAATGGGCAGCCCTGTCTGATGCCTGACTCCACTGCAGTCGGGGCTGTCAGGGCCCCATTTACCAGTACCCTGCTGCTCATGTTGGTGTACAGTGTCTTTATCTTTATCCAGATGCAGAAAATGATGGGAGTCCCATCAACCTTTGACATCTCCAGTAGGAACCGATGGGATACCCAGATGTAGGTCTTCTCCAGGTCGAGGTTCAGCACAGCAGCATTCTACCCTCTCTCTCATTGCTATTGTAGCACATCCCACAGCTGCATCAAGGCTGTGTGGATCTGCTACCCTGGTACTGTGCACACCTGGTCCTCATGGATCACTGCACCTATAACAGATTTGAAGTGCTCGGCCAAGACTTTGACCTTTAGTTTGTAGTCAAAATTCAGGAGTGTTATAGGGCACCAGTTTTTTAGGTCCCACTTCTCCCCCTTCTTGTAAAGAAGGGTTATGAGGCCCTCCTCCATCTCCTGCTTCCAGGTGACCCTCTTGCAGGCATTCTCTATAGACCTCCAGCAGGTCCAGGCCCACCTAGTCCCAGAAAGCAATGTAGAACTCCTTGGGCTGGCCATCTGTCCCAGGAGTCTTACCATTACGGAAACTGCAGACCATTGTGTTGATCTCCAGCGTCCAGTCCTCCACCAGCTTCTCAGGACCCGAAGGATCAGTTAGGGCAGTCCCTCTGGCTTCCATAAAGAGGAGAGTGCCCATTTTGCTCAATCCCCCTTGGCGCTGACTCTTTTGCAAGGAATAGTGAGCTACTACACTGACCACATTTCAACTTCCTCTTTACTCCCACAGCTGAGCTGTGTTTTTCCTTTCCATTTCCAATTATTCCTGTTTCCTCACCCTTAAGTGCTTGGCAAACATCACCAAACGAGGCCCAAACAGTTCACTCAGAATCCCTCTGTTGCCTCCTCTCTGTCTGTCGCAAATGATTCATGTTGCCTCACCTTCCAGATGCTGCGAGGGTGCAGGAGGCAAGGGGCTCCCTGACCACCTGCAGTTTTATTTTGTCTGTTGTAGCAGTGGGGTGGAAACAAATTTAAGGCAAACTTTCAATAATTAGACTGCGCCTACAAAATTCTAACAAATATATAAGTTTTCCATGTCTAATTTTTGGTAGGTTGTCTTATTTTCAGGGTAATCTTATATTCTAATAAATACAGTATTTACTGTTTTGGCTGGCTGATGAACAAGCCTTGTGGAAACTAGAGTTTCATATACAATATGGGACATTTGCTGGCAAACAGATTTAACAAAGTCCCATGATTGCCAGTAAGGAAGCCAGTTGACTTGTAGAAATATAATGTTGTACTGACTGAACACTGATTCATAAAAAAAAAATAAAAAAATCCAGGTACAGTTGCTACTGGAGGAACATCTATGCAGAATATACCCATCTTGCTCTGCGTCTTTTTTTGTAATGGGGTCTGTTTCTGAAGAGTATTGTAGATGCATGGAAGCGTCCTACATTAAAATTTAAATCTACATGCACAAAGTTCCAAATCTCTGGCTGCTGCCAAGAAAACAGTACAGGTTTCCCTCGGTTTACACAGGTTCTTTATATGCGAATTTGCTCTTATGCGATGAGGCTATTTAGACCCATAATTCGTTATATGTGAGGTAATTCACTCTTATGCAATCAGCATAGATGCCCCGCCCCGCCCAAGCAGATAAGTCTGTGTGGGGAGGGGAAAGGGCCGTGGCCCCATTCACCCCAGCCCCGGCTGCAGCGGCTCTGGGAGCAGCCAACACCAGCCACCTGCACCAGGGCACAGCGTAGCCCAGGAGCAGAGGTGAGTGGGTACAGGTAGAGCACGGTGCAGCCCAGTGGCTGCAGGCCGCCGGCATTGTTCGGTCGGCCCCGGGGGGCGGCGGGCTGCTGGCCTTGTCCGTTCCTGGGGCCGCTGCAGCCGGGGCTGGGATGAGTGCCACTCTGTTTCCTCTGCTTTGCTGCCTTGTGCAGCCCCGAGAGCAGCACCCCTCCCCCTGCCCCTTCCCTAGTCCGCCATTGGAATCTATCCCTATTTGTTACATTGTAAAGTGGTTTTGCTTTATGCAAATTCGATTTATGTGCTGTTCTCCGGGAACACACGTACAGCATAAATCGAGGGAAACCTGTATTGCAGTACTACAGCTAAAGGAAACAGGAAGATGCATATGTAAGCCCTGTAACTGGTTCCCTGAAAGTGAACACAGAGAAGACACGAAGCCAATTCATTAAAAAGCCCTAGTGAAAAGTCATAGAATATTTTTTTCAGGAGTTGCCCAGCTCTAAAATCCTTGGACATCTTGAGTAAAATGAGGACAGAAGGCAGCAGTACTGCAACATTCTTTAGAACCCAAAAGCCCCTTGGATTTATGTTGAGAGCTACTTTGTTAATGATACCAATTCCCCCAGTTTCCAACAGTTAAATGAACAACAAAACTGTTTAAATCATGGTAAGTTGCATTTATGTAAAATAAAAGATAAAAAGCAGAAAGAATACGCATTGCAATATAAGCTATAAATAGGTGCATACATTTATTTTCAATTTTAAAAGAGAGATTTAGACTTAGGCTCTGAGTAAAAAATATGATAGTTTATCTCTGTCTTCAGCATTCTGGATAAAGATTTGCAAATAAAGAATCTCGTATATGTAGATTCATGGGGTTTATTTCTGTTTCACTCCCACTAAGGTAAATTGGGAGTAACTTGAGTCACTACATTTTAAACAGCATAAAACGGATGTGAAGTTTGAATCAGGCCATGGATTTTTTGGAAGAGAAAAAGGCAGTATTGAAAATGTAATGGAATTAGTCAGATGCCGGTGTTACGAGAGTTGCATATTACAGCATCAGTATGTGCATGTGACTATACAGTAATTATCTGTATTGCTGTAGGCCCTGTCAGGGATTGGCACCCTATTGTACTGTATGCTGCACAAAGACAATAAAATCAGTCACATCTTCAGAAAACTCACAATCTAAGAATCAGGCAAAACATAAGCGCAGGCAAATAGACAGAGAAGCATGAACTCATAGTCTAGTAGCTGGAGCTAATTATTTGACTAGGGTCAAATTTGTTTTTTATTTAGTTAGGCTAGGCTAGGTCATAAACTCATAAGCTCTAAAAAGCTGTGAGGAGTCTGAATCTTCAGTCCCAGACCCATCTATCCCTCCATTTTGGTGAGATGGAAAGCTGAGGGATAGAGGAAACTGGGCCGAAGAGCCCAGACCTAGCAGTGACCCGGGCCCTTGCGTGCAGATCAGCAGGGGAAGGAATCCAGTGGCTGCACAGTCTGGCAGGCTGTTACTCAGCATGAAGACTGCTCACCTTGTTCTCCTTTCCTCCCCTTTGTGTGTGGGGAGGTGAGGGGGATAGAGCACTATGGGATTCTGGAGGATCCCCTGTCCCTATACACAAGCAACAGAAACTGAAATGCTCCAAAACAGCACCTTATATCAAGAGATACTGTTTCAAAACACTTCAGCTCTTTTTGGAACATTTTAAAGGGCCTACATTTTGTCCAGAAACATTTCAAAGGCATTTCAATTAACTTCTGTCAATAACCTATATGTTCCATGGCACTGGACTTGGAATTCCAATTGAGTGCTTGACTTTGGTCCCAAATTCACATGGATGTGAAGGAAATGGAGATTGTCTCAGATTTCTGTGAATTAGAGCAATGGTTAGCTGCCAGCTACGTGTTATTGCTTTTATAAATAATATGGATTAATGCATCTCTAGCTAACCACACTGCAATTAGTGAAATTACAGAAGGAATACTTCTGTAGTCACATGTCACTTTGTGATCTTTTCCTTAGATTAAGTTAAAGAGATTTAAAGCTTCATGATTTATTCTTCTTGTCTGGAAAAAAAAATCTTCTTCGCTTATCCATCTGCCAATAGAAAAGGGAA